CTAGTTTTTCCTTTAGTTTTAAAAATAAGTTCATCTAGTGTCTGCTAATCTACACATGAAAAATATCATTCGTTTGTTAAGGAATGAGTTCCGTATAAACCTGTATGATATTTAATGTGGTTTAAGTTCGGTTGTAGAGAGGTGTTAGAGAGGTTGTAGAGATGTAACGGGAAGTATGTCACTCATTGTTGACTCGTGATAAAATCCCTTCAAATTTAAGAAGCTAACCTTATAGTTAAAGTTTATTTTTCCAAGTTGCATACGGTGGACGGAATAGGCTAAATAAATCTAAGCCAGTGCAATCATGATGTAACGCCAGAAAACTCTCAACTTGAGGTAGAAGATCAGTGTTTCCTTTATACAGTTGATGCACTCGAACTATGAACACCGTACATCGAATTTTTTCTTACTTTTTAAAGATGCGTACTGTAAATCATCATCTATTGATCCAATAGATTGAAAATCAGATTTATTTTGATCACTCGGTGTATTTGAACTCGATGCTTCATTCTTAGAAGGTCTGACACAGTGCAAAGATCAGGAAATAATAACGCGATAGAAAACACGAAGTGTTCACGGTTCAAGTGTCCTCACTGTAATACCTCGCATCAGTGTTTAATTATTCACAAATACCAACGGTAAAGTAAAGAATGCACAACTTCAAATGAGTCATTAATCAAGAAAGGGGTCTATTACCTTATTTTCTTGCCGGTCATTGTGTCGGCAGGCCTTTCGAAACTACAATTTATGATTTCGAAAATTATTTATCTTATTAAAACATGACATTTTTTCTATTTTAAGGTGTTTGACTCTTCTTGAAATTTAAATTGAAAATTAAACTTTCGACTTTCACAAAGATTTGCTGGTGAACGAGGGGTCCGGTGAAAAGTCTGTAAGAATACAACAATATTTCAAGTAGAGTGATCACAGTAAATCCGTGAAACACTAATTACTAAATAGTACAAAATAGTGCTAGTTAAACAATAGAAAACAATGGAATTTGCATGAAATTGTGCTATTTAGTATTGCTAAAGTTTCACGGATTTACTGTGGTCACTCTAATTCAATGAATCCTGATTTCAGCTATAATATCAAATATTGTGCTATTTAGTATTGCTAAAGTTTCACGGTTATATTGTTTGCACACTATGAGTGTGCAACATAAATACCACTAAATGCTGCTAAATTAATGCTAATCCTATTGTTTTCTATTGTTTAATTAGCACTATTTACTACTAATTAGTGCAAAGTGTTGCACACTTTTAGTGTTTGTACTCTAGTTAGAAGGTTAATGGTGAAAGTTTCATTTTTGCTTGCAGTTGCGTTCACATAACTAAAACTTTATTGGAAGCTTTCTAATGAATACACCAATTGCGGGCTACGAAATCGCACCACAGGACCGGGAAACTGTTAACCCAGAAGTACTGTGTAGCAAGTGTAAGAACATTGTAAGGAACGCCCTACAAACACCATGTGGACATCGGTATTGTGCGGATTGCCTGGAGAGTGAATTTATGTAAGTACAAGCCTATTCTCTAATTTCACATCCCCATAATGCCTTGCGTCTGTGGGGGGTAACCAATCAAAAAACTGTTCCAAATTGAAATGTTTCTTCATTGAATTTAAACTATACCTGCTTTTATCTGTACAATACTGATTATCAGTTTATTCCAAGTTATTTTTGCATGTACAGATCATCAAGAGTTTTGGTCTTACAGAAAATGTATTGACTTACGAAAAAATGTTTAAAATTTACCTTAAACGTCTTCAAGCTTCTATCCTTTTCTGTTTTTTACTTCTTCATTTTATTTTTGGATACCAAACAAGGTATTGTCAACATTGTCTGATCAGCCTTCAGCAAAATAAGTGGGTTTTTACCCTCTGGTTACCCCCCAAAGACGCAAAGTATTATGGGGATGGTGTATAATTTACCTTTTTATCATTTATGTTATTTCTATTCAGGATGTATTCAGCTATTTCAACATGCAACATGCATAGTGCAACCAAAACTTTATCAACCTTTTTTGAAATAGTTGTATTCAAACTCGCGGAGTTGCCACCTGCTACCTGACCTTCGTCCAAGCGTGACAGTTGCGTAAAATGTTTTTGTTAAACTTATCTTTGCTTTGTGCAGTGTGCACTGATGCACATGTCGAGGACGAACTACACTACGCGGTTATTTTTTGTACTCGTTTTCTTTCTTGAATCTAGAGTTCCAAAAGAGTTTGTTTTCTCGACCAGCCATGTCCGGCGTAGGGTAGGAACAACGCAATGTTTTTAAAAGTAACAAGAGTAGACTTGCCCCAAGTCGACCTCTCTTGTTTTCCCTGCGTTTTTTAATTCGAGCGAAGCGAGAATCTTGCGAGCGCAGCGAGCGAGCGACGAAGTCGCGAGAGGTAAAAAAAAACAAAAAGCGGGCGGCGGACTTTGCGAAAGTCTATAACAAGAGATTTCATATGAAAATATGAATGTATATTACGTTACCCTACGACATGGACGGCGTGAAGACAATTCCAATGGTCACATTCTAAAGACTGCCATGAGTTTCAGTTTTCGATAAAATTGATGCTGGATTTGATTAGGATTTGAAAGCGCTTTGGATAGAATAACAAATACAACCAACCTGACTTAATCGATTGTAACATTTAGGTACTTCCGTTTGATTGGTTAAAATGTAAGCCAATAATTAACCTGAGTGGTAATTACCAAAAGGAACGCAGGCTCAAAACGAGTAACCTGTCTTAGGCTGAAACAGAAACTCGAAGGCGTTGTTTGATTTGTCAATATCTGTAAACCGAAGCGGAAGCGAAAGTGAAGACGAGTCACAGCTATTTTAGTCCCTGAACGCAAATCTACGACGGTGACGTCAACCGGAAGTGTAAATACCTTCACTTTGGGGTTTCGCGCCTTCAAAATCTGTCTTCCTGTGGATGAGTTGACTTAACTGACAATGTTTTGAATGAAATCTCCAATGAACAGAACCCCAAAGATAAATTATTTACACTTCCGGTTGACGTCGCCGTCGTAGATTTTGCAAATCTTAAAGTCCCTAGTGTCGCGTAGGAGACTACGCGGTCATAAGACAGGAACTTTATCGTGGCTATGCTTGATTGGTTAACCGAAGGTCTTCCTTAATTTCCTAGAAATGTCAAAAACGACGGGGAAAACCCCTCTCATCAAAGGAAATATATATATATATAGCGCTTTGCAAAAATTCTGCAAATAAAATGAATATCTATATATCTATATATCGGGTGCATAATGGATCATTTTCAACTCAAAAAAAATCATTTTAATAAAGGATCAATCCAATGTTTTTGTTAAAATCAGATAATCATAGTGTACAGTGTGAGCACTAATATTAATTAATTGGTTGACTTTTGCTTGAAAATCGCTGTATTAAAGATTTTGGAATTCGTAAAACAGAGTTCATATATGGATTAAGTGATGAGTTTTTGCAAAACGCTGAATCTTTGCACAAAACGCTATATATATATATATACATATACCGGGATGAATCCCTAAAACTTTGACAATTCACCGATATACATACATATATACGTGTCCCCCATTTTCCTATTGTCTTTCCTTGAAATTCCAGGTAAGAAATAGGTCTGTACCCTTCCCCAAACCTATAGATTATAAACAATAGGTTTTATTCTTTATCCTGCAGCAAAGGACAAGCAAGTTGTGAAATCTGTAACAAAGGTCTGACGCGAGGCAAGGTGCGGTAGATGACATATTAAATGAAATTATGCCATTCTAGTCAGGTGGCTAAGTGAAAAATCTTGGCGAGATCTATACACAGCGGACGAAAAGCACGAGTTCAAGGCTACTTCGACGGACCATTGAAAAACTGACTGCCTTGTCTGGCCGTCTGTCTGTCTGTCTGCCTATCAGGACTGACTGTCTGTATGTCTGTCTGTCTGTTTAGTTGACTGACTGACGCATCTGTGTATGAATTGACTGATACTGAATAAGTTGAATGCACGGATTCAGTCTTGTTAATTGACGTTATCATGCATATTCTAATCCAATTATTGTTTATTGTCTTTTTGTTACTGCAGGTTTTCAGGGACAAGTTCTGCGATCGTGAAATACAAAATTTAATCTTGTTTTGCATCTACTGTATCTTTGGCTGCAAGTGGAAAGGAGAATTACGACATCGTGGGGTTGGTGGAAATGTTTGCGAATATTTCATTCCTCATTACTCATTCTTCCTTTCTTTCTTTCTTCCTTCCTTCCTTTTTTCCTTCCTTCCTTTTTTCCTTCCTTCCTTCCTTCCTTCCTTCCTTCCTTCCTTCCTTCCTTCCTCCCTCCCTTAAAGCTAAAGCTAATGATAAATGTTAAATGTTAGTAACATGCAATATAAAGAAAAGCATGTGACATACATCCATTACATGTGACTGATACCCACTTATTAAATTTCCAAAGGAGCATCAGAAAACTTGTGAGTTTGCACCAATCAGCTGTATCAATCCCAAATGCGACAAAAAAATTCCGAGAAGCAATCTAGCTGCCCACCTTCAGGATGAATGCTTGTACAGAGAACTTGCTTGTTCGTATTGCGGACAACCATACGTGGCAGCCTTCGCCAAGGTGAATTTCGACTTCTTGTATGTTTGTGCTTTTACAACGGGCGAAACGTTTAGAACCTTCAAATTTTATCGATGCCCTGAAACAACCTCTGGGCTGATCTAAGTCAGGGCACGGCTAACTCTCAGATCGAACCCTGAAACAACCTCTGGGCTGATCTAAGTCAGGGCATTGCAAAACAACAGATCGAAACAAGGGAGAAACCTAACAAACTCTACTCACATGTGATACCTTTTCTGGGAATCGAATCCAGCGGACCCCACCCAGAGGGGAGAGGCGAGTGCACTACTGCTACGCCACCCTTGATTTCCAATGTCCAACCACGTGTCATTCCCTTGAGCATCATTTCTTTGTTTACGGCGATTCCGAAGACACAATATGTGGATGGGAATCGAACAAAGAATTTCATTCACAAGATATTTGAAAATTGAAAGGTTGAAGCACAATGTGAAAGAGTTGGAAAGAATATATTATATCACGTAGAAAAAACTATCAAAATATTAAAATTTCGATAAGTTAGAAATAATATAGGCTTGGCAACAGTTATTTTCATGATCAAGATTTAAAGACAAAAACCTTTACTTTTGTCGTTGTAGGAGCACGAAAAAGCATGTCCGGCTATTCCAACAATCTGTCCCTCGTGCGGCAAAGAATTTCTTCAATCTGAGGTGCGTATACAACGAAGGCAATTTTTAATTGACTTGTTTGGGTGGGGTGGGGGGGGGGTGGTTCTCTCTCTTCTCTCCTCTCCTCTCCTCTCCTCTCCATTTCTGTTTTCCCTCAGGTTCTGAGCAGCTTTTATCATATGTTTCCTATCTTATTTTTCTTTTCTTTTCTCAGCTTAAAAAGCATCGTGACACAAGCAATCCCGACGTCTGTGAAGTTCTTGAGGCATCATGCCCCTTTGTGGCTGCTGGATGTAAAATAGACAAGGTATTTAGAATCAAAGATCGATAGAGTGCATGCACTAAACCCGTGAATAATATTTAGTACAAACTAGTAATAATTCATGCAGAGTCCTTTGTTTCCTATTGTTTTATTATCACTATTTAGTACTAAAAATTAGTATTTGTTTCACGGGTTTAGTGCGAGCACTCTATATGAGTCTAGACATGATAAGCCCAGAAGTTGTTTCAGGGTTCAATCTTGGAGTTAGCCATGCCCTGACTTAGATCAGCCCAGAGGTTGTTTCAGGGTTCGATCTGTGAGTTGGCCTTGCCCTGA